CCCAGCTGGGAACCCCGAACTCACATTCAAACTGGAACTCGTGTGCAAAGGCCTGAACCTCAATGGTGAAGCCGTGGAAGTAGAGCCGGAACAGGCTCTGGAGGTTGTTCAGCTCCTGGGTGCTGAAGTTCCCCCGCGACCAGGGCCACAGGAAGCGGATGGTGTCCAAGGCCGTGTCCCAGCCGTGCGTCTGCACGTCGCCCAGCCAGCCCGAGCCCTGCGAGTGTGCCCAGCTGTGGTTGGCAAACGAGGAGGCCTGGAGTACGTGGAAGGACAGCGGCTCCTCTGCGGCCGGACCAGGGGGACGGGGCGCCTGGGATGCTGGGGATGCGGATGGGGATGGGGGGGGAGGGATGGAGACCGTTGCACGGATGGCACGCACTCCCTTACCCCAGCCGCTCCCCGGGCCAGCCAGCCCTCCCCAAAACCAGAAGGAGAGAGCGAGGTGGGGCAAGAGAAGGAGTCAGGAGCCAGCCTGGCACGCGACGCCCACCCGCAGGGCCCCCCAGAAGGTCACCCTGCAGCCCCCGGCCCCCGGGGTCTTCCCAGGGCCCTTCCTACCCCCGGTGCCTGCTGCATGGTGGAGAAGAAGTGCCTGGAAAGTCAGGAGCAGCGGGAGCAGCATTGCGGCGCGGCAGGAGAAGGATGCCTCAGCAGGACCCGGGTGGCGCTGCCCTCCAGGCCCTCCCGCCTTCATCTGACTTCCCCTGCCGCCCGCACAGGCAACCCTCACCCTCTGCCCACTTCCCTGCCAGAGAAACCCTCCCGCCTCCCCACTGTGGGCCCACGGGCCTCGCATTTCCCCTCCCTCTCTGCCACTCTCTGGCTTCCAGATTTTTCTCCCCGAGTTCCCCACCCCTGGGCACAGCCACCGTCACGGGACTCCAGGCTGCAGCCTGTGGTCCCGCTGGAGAACGTAGACCTTTCTGGCCTTGCAGAAACCCAGTCCACACTTGGGCTCTCTGTGTCCCCCCCGTGGAGAGAGGGCATGGCAGGTGATCTGAGCGGCCGTGGCCTTCAGCCCCTTGTCCTGCGGCTGCAGCTTCTCCCTCTTCATGACCCCCGACCCCCATCTTCTATTAACCCCGGTTTCCCCTCTCCAGTCTGCTCTCGCCCCTCTTGCTGCCCTGCCCGCTCTCCCTTTCTGTCTCCACCTTCCGCTCCTCTCAAGCCACCGTCAGAAGACACAGGGCGCCTCGGGTGCAGCTGTACCCCCACCATGAAGAGGGACATCAGTGCCAATGCAGGCGACCCAATAACCTAAGAGAAGGCCCTCGTGCTCGGCTTCCGCCATCAGACCATCGGTGGCTGTTGACGGGGGTCTGAGGGTGGGCTTGCCCTGGCACTGGGGAGTGAGTGGGTCTGGAGGGAACACACAGGGGCCTTGGAGCCCTCCCACACTCCAGATTAGTCTACAGGTCTGTGGCAAGCCTCACTCTGGGTGTGAAGGGCTCTCAGCTCACGGCCTGGGCGCACTGGTGATCCCCGGGAGGAGTCTGACGAGAGCAGGGAAGGAACGCTAGGGGCCTGGCGTGTTACTGGGAGAATTGACTACCGTGTGCGGTCTCTGTTTTTGTTGCCTGCATTGATGCTTGCTGGGGCAGCCTGGAGGCAGTTGGGATTCTGTTCCTCTGTTTGGTTTTCCTATATTCGCCAACTGACTTTGTGTCAGAGCCCAGCTGGGGCCAAGAAATGTGCCAGGCACAAAGATGTTGGAGATAGAAGTCCTTTGGAGGAAACCAAACAAACGCAACCTAAAAGCTCTACTTTTCTCATAGAGAGGTCCAGAGAATAGTCGCCAATTATTGGAAAAGGCCCCCCCACACACCCCCCTTTCATCCTGGTATTATTTCTGAATTCTAAGGGTGAAGAAAAATCTGGCAAAGTTTCAGACAAAATGCTCACTACTTTCATAGAAGAATCGTCCTGGCTTCAGATACGTCACACGCAAGGCCACGGGGAAATACTTCAGAACTCTGAGGTAATAAGATCACCCAAAAGTTTTTTTTTTTTTACTCAGGTAAATTACCATTCTCTGACAAGGCCAAAGTTAACCCATATTTGAACACTCAAAAACGCAAAAAATATGCCACATACTCCTTTCATAAAACCAGTTGTCTGAGTAAAACCACAATCAACCTGAATGGAAAACCCAAGAAATCATGCAAGACATACCAGTGTCAAAGTGTGTTAAAAATATATACTGAACTTTAGGGGCGCCTGGGTGGCGCAGTCGGTTAAGCGTCCGGCTTCAGCCAGGTCACGATCTCGCGGTCCGGGAGTTCGAGCCCCGCGTCAGGCTCTGGGCTGATGGCTCGGAGCCTGGAGCCTGTTTCCGATTCTGTGTCTCCCTCTCTCTCTGCCCCTCCCCCGTTCATGCTCTGTCTCTCTCTGTCCGAAAAATAAATAAAAAACGTTGAAAAAAAAATTAAAAAAAAAAAATATATATATACTGAACTTTAAACAATTGCTTAAAACGTGATTGCAAAACTTAACACCTCCGTGGAATATTTCAGGAAAAAAGTTGGTAATAATCAAAGGATCGAGTTCCATATTCCCTCACCAAAACCAGGACAGAGAGATGAAAAGAAAGAGAGAAACAGGCTTATTTCAAATCATATCTTATTGGCCAAGAGCACAGTGCAAAATGGAGTCAGAAAAGTTGGGGAAATCATGACATTTATGGGAAACTAGATTGCGTCGAGTGGCAGGGAGCACGAACTCTTAGCTCCTAGTCCCGAGACACTTAAAATGTTGAAAAAATGTATGTAAGGAGAGGACACATAAATCCATTATCATGCTGGAAAATGGTGAAAAGGCCCAGCTTCCGAAGAGAAACTTGAAAGCCCTTCGAAAAAGAAAGCAAGAGAAAGGGGTTCAACGTGCCAAGCCTAAGACACACACGGAAGAAACACAGCACACCCGGAAGAACGTGTCTGCAAAATGTGGTAACTAACACAGGACTTGATGGTACTTGACAGAGAATTCCGAACACCAGCTTTCTTGAGCCTTCCTGCTGGAGAAGCACTTGGTCGTAGGACAGTGACCCAGGACCTGCTCTCTTAGCAGAGCCACGTGTCTGCCCGGGGAGGCGCAGGGGCACCGCACAAGCCCTTCGGGGACAAGGGTAACTAGACCCCCCATCAGCAGCTCCTTTGTTCTTTCAAGAACCCCGAAGATCTGTTGCGTCACAAACGCAGCAAAGTGGAAATTGGTGGGGTGTAATCTGAGTAGCAGCCTCCTCGTTCTACGGAAAGTCAGGTGGATCTGACAAGTTTATTTTAAATTTTATCGTAGGGGCGTCTGGGTGGCTTAGCCGGGTAAGTGTCCCACCCTTGCTTTCGGCTCAGGTCATGATCTCACGGTTTGTGAGTTTGAGTCCTGCGTTGGGATTCTCTTTCTCTCAGTCTCTCTGCCCCTCCGTCTCCCCCGCCCCCCACCGCCCCACCAAAATAAATAGACATTAAACAAATTTTAATACATTTTATCTTAAAAAATAAAAATGTAAGCTCCTAGGGGCGCCTGGGTGGCTCAATCGATTAAACGGCCAACTTCGGCTCAGGTCATGATTTCACAGTTTGTGAGTTCAAGCCCCGCCTTGGGCTCTGTACTGACAGCTCGGAGCCCGGAGTCTGCTTCGGATTCTGTGTCTCCCTCTCTCTCTGACCCTCCCCCACTCACACTCTGTGTGTGTGTGTCTCTCTCTCTCAAAAATAAAATAAACATTAAAAAAAATTTTTTAAGTGTAAGAGCCTACATATTTCTGCTAAATAGTAATGAAGAGTGTATTTGCCTTACCACACAGTAGCACGTACTAGAAAGTTAGCGTCAACACAGATGTATGGAAACGTGTTCCATGAGACAGGTGGGTGCTACAGCTTGGGCACCAAAGGGCAAAAGGAGCCAAGCCAGCAGTCGTTGGTTGGTAAGCCCCTATGACGTGTGCCTCACTGAAGATCTGTCTTGTTTCTCCAGCAAGGGAAGGATTTTGAATGCGACAGGGATGTGGTTGAATGGCATTTAGGAAAAATCCCTAAACCCCAATGAGAGTCACAGGAGAGTGTATCAGGGCCTGAGGCCACCACGATGGCAGAGGATGTCAGTGACCTGAACACAGGCAGGAAGAGTGAGTATGGAGAGGCGTGGGGATAATAGAGATAGCCTGGGGGTGACAGGATTAACCAAACCGGGGATGTGATGGGGAGGAGGGAGATAGTGCCATTCACGAAGGCAGACGACGCAGGTGTGACGGACCGTGTGGAGGCGCACAGTTGAGTCTGGGGCATGTGGAGACTGAGGCTCGGGACGCAGGTGCTGGGCGGCTCACAGCGTGTGCCTTGTTGCACGGGGCGGTTTCGGACCTCACAAAACCTGCTGACCATGTGCTGCCATCCAAAGAGGTGTAGATGTCTAGAAATCTGTCCCTCTTTCAAATTATGTCTTGAAGTTAAATTTAATGAGTGTTATTATCTGTGTCTTAGAAGATCTTTTAAGTCTCGGGGCGCCTGGGTGGCTCAATTGGTCAAGCGGCCGACTTTGGCTCAGGTCAAGATCTCACACTTCCTGGGTTCGAGCCCCGCATCGAGCTCTATGCTGACAGCTCGGAGCCTGGAGCCTGCTTCAGATTCTGTGTCTCCCCCTCTCTCTGCCACTCCCCTGCTCACTGTCTCTCCCCCCCCTCTCTCTCTCTCAAAAGTAAACATTAAAAAAAATTAAAAATAAAAAAAGAGCAGGAAAGCAAGTTATCACCTCCTTGTCCTGGTAGAGTTTAGTGTGAATAAAAAGACTCATACAAATAAATCTACCTCTGAGAGGTTAGAATGACATGCCAACCCCCCGTGTTATGAGTAACTGTACTAATTTGAAGGATTTTAGGATCACTTACAAAGTAAAATGCAGCAAAAATAAGTTAGAGATAAAACAATTTCAATATCCCACTGGAACTCACAGTTATGATGAGGGAGCATAAGGCAAGCTGAGGGCAAAGCACAAGCTAGCCCCCCCCCCACCCCCAGGAGGGATTTGTGACATTCCTCAGGCTCTCCCAGCTGCCCAAGAACAAAGGGAAGAGGGGAAAATGGTTAGCTGACAGAGGTCACAGTCATGGGGGACAGGAGTCTCCATCAGTTCACAAATATCTTAGTAAATTACAAGAAAAAGGCGATCATATCAATAGCCAAATCTCCAAGAACTTATAGACTCAGTTCCCTGGAGCCCCAACATCACCCTCCCCTCCACAGTGTTGTGGGGAACAAAGGCAAGAAGGAAATGGCAGGCGAAATTAAATTTCTTTAGGACCTGCAGCCCATTGACAAATACTTGAGGCAAATGCAGAGCGTAACATTTCTCCAGGAACCCCCTCTGGTCTTAATGTTAATGCTTCACTAGAGGGAAACCAACCTTAGCTTGACCACAGCAAGGCCCCGGGCATCGTAAGAGTCCTCTTTAGCAGATGAAGGTCCTTCTGGAGGCCTCCCTTTGGCCTTTCTTTCCCCCAACTCCATAGTAGGTAACTACTCACTCCTCACAACCCCAGTGCAGCCCTTCCGGCCCCGGGGTCCTGTCCCCATACTTTAATAAAATCACCTTTTTTGCACCACGGACATCTCAGGAATTCTTTGTTGGCCCTCAGCTCGGGGCCCCACCACCACTCCAGAACCTCATCAATTACATGGGTGAAAATAACCACAAACCAGTCTGCAATTTGAGGGTTACCAAATCCACAAGTCACAGCAATGGACCGAGCATAGCAGAAGTAAATTCCTGTTAGCAATCCAACAACAGTTACCAAAACTATCAAGGAGATTTCCTCTAAATTGAAATCACGCAGGAGGGGCGCCTGGGTGGCGCAGTCGGTTAAGCGTCCGACTTCAGCCAGGTCACGATCTCGCGGTCCGGGAGTTCGAGCCCCGCGTCGGGCTCTGGGCTGATGGCTCGGAGCCTGGAGCCTGTTTCCGATTCTGTGTCTCCCTCTCTCTCTGCCCCTCCCCCGTTCATGCTCTGTCTCTCTCTGTCCCAAAAATAAATAAACGTTGAAAAAAAAAAAAAAAAGAAATCATGCAGGAGATAAGTTCCGCAGGAAAAATATCTAACATTAATTTTATTTTGGGGCTACATAAAATGGTATAATTATTTCCTCCTTGCTTGACAAAATTTCCTTAGTGTGTAACCACAGTTTTTGACTAAAAACACTTACTGTTTGTGGCCAGGTCCCTTTTAAGAAGAAATTTCCCCTCCTACACTTCAGTCTGTCCCTCAAACTCCCAGATCCCTTTTGTTAACCTTCTTGCCCAAACTGAAACATTCCCTTGAAGCTGTAAGATGTGGCTCTAGACAAATTAATCTTCCTAAGTAAGAAAATGGTTGGAGGGCAGCAGCGGGAATCACCTAGAACTGATTTAAAATAGTATTTGGGAATACATCTGTGGAAATGTTAAATCTACTCTGGAAACTCTGCCAACATCTGATGACCTTCCTGTTTTTCCTGCAAAGAAGTCTGATTTACAACTTCAGTGATTTTGGAATCAGCAATGCAAACTTGAGAAAACGTTGACAGAAAGTATAAAATAACATCAATTCTTACTGATGTCTGTCGCCACCCACAGTTTTGTGTAACAAAATCTCATCTTTCCATCCTGAGGGGCTGCCTTTCCGTCCCAGCTACAAGAGGAAGGTGGACCAGGGTGCAGACTGCCCTCGATGGTCACTTAGCTAAGCCTTTCCTGAGCCTTCTTTACCTATAAGGTATCAGCAAACGCTTAATCTTCTAGCTGCCCACACAGCCAGCTCCTTCCGATGGCTAATTTCCAGGAGGTTTATAGCTTACAGCTCTTTTCCTCCCTAATC